GCGTGGGTTGGAGTTTGTTTTTATGTTTCAAGGATAATGACTTGCATAATTGATGATTTACGAATTTTTATCATTTTTCTGGTAAATTTTAGGGGTAGGCTTTCGGTTGTTCTGGCTTCTATGGGTACTTGTTTTTCAATCTTCATCAAGTTTCTGAAGTTTGTTTCCAGACTTTTGCATCCGATTTTGATTATTCAAAAGAAGAAAATAGTATGACAATTATTCATAACATTTGAATTCGTTAAACTGCCTGTTTCAGAAGAAAAGTGAACATTTTGGTTGTTGTATTCAGGCTAATTATGGGCACTGCATCTTAGTATGCACTGGACACGCCTGGAACTATGCTGTTTAACTTGAATGAGCTAGAAGCGAAAACTTTTTAAGTGGTAAGATGAAATTAATGGTGCGTCAAAGATTTTTTAGCGAAACAATATATCGCATTTTCTTTTCTAGTCGGACATGGCTTAACTGAGCAGCTGAATCTTGCTATTTAGGTGATACATACGTTTCTTTGCTGCAGGTTTCAAACGTTTCTAACTCTGTAAGTTCAGAATGTTGGGTAAAATTCGTGACTTGTAAATTTAGTACAACAAGAAGAGGGAATTTGGTTGGGTTTTCAAAAGCAAAACCTCTCTGCAGCATTTGGCTACGTTTTATAATGCCTTAAACTGTTCAGCTGTCCTCTGAAAGCTTAATGCGAACAGTCACCTTTGTTGCCATTTTTTCTTAACTTAGCAAAGCTTTGATTACTCATTTGTTCAGAATGAATGCCTGGTTTTTATTGACGTAATGGTTAAGGCGTGGTTTTTTACTTTAATTTTGTAATGAAGAAGGATATAGTTCTGGTAAGAAACATAAACATTACGCCAAAAAAGGTTTTTTATCTCAAATATGAGCTTTTTTTTGTGTATAACTGTAGGTAATATTATACTTTGTCAACTTTTGGTTTTTTTGAAAATATATTTTCCGCCTTATTGGAAATTTCAGACTAAAAAAAAAATGAAGCTGGGTTTTATTGGGAACTTCACGTGACTTAATGACTCAGTTAATGGGCTTTTATAAAGTTCTGCTCAGTTCCTAAAATTAAAGCATTTAGAAGACGCCTAATTTATAGTTACCATTTACTGGTTTACATAGTCATAAATTTGGGAGTTCAGATTAGAAAAGATTGGCACTCTTTGTAGGAGAAATTGAGGAAGAAGCTAACAAGGAAGGAAGAAATTAGGAAATGGTTTTTAGTGGTAACAGAGGAACCTACATGATTCTTTATTGATGTACTAAATAAATTTTCAAAAGAAAGCATTGGCGTTTGTTATGTGATGGAAACTGAAATTGTGGCGATAAGTTTTCGTTCTGGTTGAGATTATAGTTTCTGAAACTTTCAGATCACTTTTAAAGTAATAAAATATACAATAAAAATATATTTTTCTGTAATAGACTTTCCTGAAAACAAAAATATCGTTATTTGCAGATGTTCATAAGGATGGGATATACAAGAGCATTTTGTTAAAATAATCGGTTGATCTGAAACTTGTGGCTATCTGGAGACCTAACTGTTGAGAATCTTGAAGTCATTGTTCGCGCTTAACAATATTTGCAATTTCCTGTCACATTTTGAGAAGTTAGATATATCAAATTGTGTGGCTGAACTGAAATATTATTTGTTGTAGAAGGGAAGAAAGGTTTTAAAAAATTTGAAGAAGAAGCTGAAAACCGTAGTCTTAGAGCGAACTTTAAGCGCTGTGAAAACCCCCGAGCGATCTTGCATCTAGACGCTTCAGCATGCGTGATGGGAGTGCTGAAGGTCGTTTTTAGTTTTTAATAACATCGTAAAAGTTAAAATATGATCAAAATAGCAACAAATAATTTTAGTTTTGTAAATTTTTTCTTGAAGATTTTGATAGTATTGCTGCGAAAATTTCAGAAAACAAAAAAATTTTATTATTTTCTTTACAAATCGAATGAATCACAGTAAGTCAATGCCGACGTCGTAACACTATGCTTCCTTTTTC